AGCGGAGTGGCATTCCCTCCGCTCCCCACTCCGACACCCCTGCCGGGCCCCTCCGCACCTGCCCCCTCCAACGAGGGCTGGCAGAAGGCGAGGGGCTCCAAGAAGTCCCGAAGGCGGGCCAGAAAGGCTGCCCAAAAAGCAGCCCAAGCCCAGCCTTCGCCACCGGTGGCAACGGCCTCTGCAAAGAGGCCGCGGAAGCTGCAGCCGCCCAAAACCTCGGCTGTAGTTGTGACCGTGTCCCCGGAGGCGGCTGACGGCGGGCTGTCCTATGCGGCCGTCTTCAAAAAGGCCCGGGACAGCCTCGCCAACGAGTTTGGGACGGTGGGGGTCAGGATGCGCCTCGCCCAGACGGGAGCTCGAGTTCTCGAGTTCCCTGGGGCTGAAGGCGCAAAGACGGCGGACTCCTTCGCTGAGAAGCTGCGGGGAATATTTGCAGCCACAGATGGTGTCAGGGTCGCCAGGCCTACCAAGTGCGCGGAACTGCGCATCTCGGGCCTGGACGACTCAGTGACGGCCGAAGATGTCCGCGCTGTAATCCGGGAGAAGACGGGGTGCAGCGCGGACAACGTCAGGGTCGGCACCATCCGCCCCGGTCCAGGAGGGCTTGGCGCCGTGTGGGTCAGCTGTCCCGTAGCGTCGGCCAAAGTATTGGCCGACGCCGGCAGGCTGCTCATCGGTTTCGTGAGCGCTAGGATCACAGTCCTGGCGGCGAGACCGATGAGGTGTTTTAAATGCCTGGCCGCGGGACACACGCGCGTCAAGTGCGACAGTTGTTTTGACTGCGGCGGACTGTGTTTCCGCTGCGGTCAACCGGGGCATAAGGCGGCAGAATGCTCTGCCGCCCCTCACTGCCCAGCGTGTGCGGCGGGCAATAAGCCCGCCAATCACCAGATGGGGCAGAGAGGCTGCAAGCCTCCCCGCAGTTCTCGGCAGACGTCAGGGGCTAGCCAGTCGACCCAGGCTGCCTCTGATGTAGTACGTGCGTCGTCGTCGTCGCCCATGGAGGAGGTTGTAGAGACGATCCAGTAATGGATCAAGTCTCCAACCTCCTGGTCCAGACGAACCTGAACCACTGTGCCGCGGCGCAGGATCTCTTCCTGCAAACCATGGCACAGTGGTCGATAGGTGTTGCCGTAGTCGCGGAGCCCTATTCTGTCCCTCCCCGTCCAAACTGGATGGGTGACTGGGACGGCTCCGTGGCAGTCGTCGGTTCCACGACGGCTCATTCCCCGCCCTTGTCGCTAAGAGACAAGGGCACTGGATATGTTGCCGTCGAGTGGGGGGGGATCACCGTATATGGTGTTTATTTCTCCCCAACCGGCGTTTGAACGACTTCGAGGTTTTCCTAACCAGCTTGGAGACCTCGATACGGCGACTAGCGTCTGGGCACGTCCTTGTGCTGGGGGACTTCAACGCAAAGTCCATTGCGTGGGGTTCCCCCAGGACGGACGCAAGGGGCGAGGCCGTAGAGGAGTGGGCGGCCTCGGTGGGCCTCTGTCTTCTAAACAGAGGCTCCACCAACACGTGCGTGCGACAGCAGGGGGGGTCGATAGTGGACCTCTCGTTCGCTACCCCTGCCCTCGCCGCACGAGTAAGGAACTGGCGTGTCCTGGAAGAGGTTGAGACGCTCTCGGATCACCTGTATATCCGATTTGAGCTCTCCCGGACCCAGGACTCCAGTAGGGGTCACGTGGCGCGGCGTTTATCCCGCTTTCCACGGTGGGCTGTTGCCAGACTGAACCGGGACCTACTAGAGGAGGCAGCCATAATTCACTCGTGGCTGTCTCCGCAGGCTCCGACCGAGGAGGTTGACGTGGGGGCTGGTCGCTTTCGCGATGCGATTACGCATATCTGCGATGCGGCCATGCCCCGCATTCGAGGTCGTCGGCCTCCAAGGAAGGAGGTCTACTGGTGGTCCCAGGAGCTGGCGGACCTCCGTGCGGCCTGTACACGTGCCCGGAGGTCCTACACACGCAGTCGGCGGCGTCACCGTGGAGACGGTGAGGAGGACCGGCTTCATGAGGAGTACCGACGGGCGCGGAAAACTCTGAAGCTGGCCATTAGCCGCGCCAAAGAGGAAAAGAGACAGGAGATGCTGGAGGGTCTTAATCGTGACCCCTGGGGTCGCCCTTACCGCGCGGTGCGACAAAAGCTCCGCGCGTCGGGCCCCCCCCCCTTACGGAGACTCTTCAGCCCAGCTTCCTGCGAGAAGTGGTTGAGGGCCTTTTCCCACAACGAGCGGAACACACTCCCCCGTCGATGGCCTCCCTGGCCGGAGACGACGGGGAGCACGGGGAGGACAATGTTCCGCCCGTCCGGGATTCGGAGGTAGGGGCGGCTGTTCTACGGATCCGTTCCAAGAACACCGCCCCTGGGCCAGACGGGGTACCGGCCCGAGTGCTGGCCCTGGCCCTCAACCACATGGCAGACCGCCTCGGGGAGGTGTTCGACGCTAGCTTGGCGTCGGGACGCTTCCCTGAGTGCTGGAAGAGCGGGAAGCTGGTCCTATTGAGGAAGCCGGGACGGCCTGCCGATTCGGTCGCGGCCTATAGGTCCATCGTGCTGCTGGACGAGGCGGGCAAATTGTTTGAGAGGGTTCTTTCTGCCCGCATCGTCCGGCACCTCTGCGAGGTGGGCCCCGATCTGTCGGACGCCCAATTTGGTTTTCGGGCGGGGCGTTCGACAGTCGACGCCGTGTTGCGCCTGAGGGCCGTGACCGAAGAGGCCGTGAGCTGTGGCGGCGTGCTGTTGGCGGTGTCATTAGACATCGCCAACGCATTCAATAGTCTGCCATTCAGCTGCATCAGGGAAGCACTCCACTATCATGGGGTGCCAAAGTACCTGAGGCGGCTGGTGGCAGACTATTTAGAGGAGCGTACCGTCGTGTACGAGGACCGAGAAGGTAATTTGAGGTGTCGGCCCATGTCGTGCGGTGTTCCACAGGGGTCTGTTCTTGGACCCCTCTTGTGGAACATAGGGTACGACTGGGCCCTTCGCGCCGATTTCCCCCCCGGGCTGGGTGTAATCTGTTACGCAGACGATACACTGGTTACAGCCCGGGGGGCAAACTTCCAAGAGGCGGCGCGCCTGGCCACAGGGGGAGTCTCCCTGGTGGTCGGGCGCATTGAGGCGCTGGGCTTACGGGTGGCCCTAGATAAGACGGAGGCCCTGTTATTTCATGGGCCCCGTCGTGGTCCACCCCCTGGCGCCTCAATCGTGGTCAACTCGGTCCTCGTACCGGTTCGGGCCCAGATGAAATATCTGGGCCTGATCCTCGACGGGAGGTGGCTCTTCGACGAGCACTTCCGACAGCTTGCTCCAAAGCTATCTGCCCTAGGGCGACTTTTGCCCAATATGGGTGGACCCAGCGTCGCGACAAGACGGCTGTACACGGGGGTTGTCCGGTCAATGGCACTGTACGGCGCACCGGTGTGGGCGGCGGCTCTGACCGCCCAGAATAGGGTACGCCTCTGGCGCCCTCAGAGGGTAATGGCGGTCAGAGCCATACGCGGTTACCGCACCGTGTCGACGGAGGTGGCATGCGCGTTGGCCGGAACTCCCCCGTGGGATTTGGAGGCGGAAGTGCTCGCCGAAGTTTATCGGCGAGTGGCTGACTTCCGGGCGGAGAGCGGATTTCGCCCTCCGCCCGAGGATGTGCGCGAGTGGCGCGAAGCCGCTCGCCGAGCCACGATGGCTCGTTGGTCGTTCCGGCTGGAGACTCCACGCGCTGGCTTCGCCGCCGTGGAGGCTCTCCAGCCGGTCATCGCCGAGTGGGCAGGGCGGCAGCACGGGACCCTTTCCTTCCGGCTGACGCAGGTGCTTTCCGGGCACGGTTGCTTCGGAAAGTACCTGCACACGGTCGCTAGGAGGGAACTGAGTCCCGCCTGCCACCACTGCGACTGCAGTGAGGACTCGGCCCAGCACACGCTGGCGGTCTGCCCCGCATGGGCGGCGCAGCGCCGGGCCCTCACTGCAGTCATCGGAGTGGATCTCTCGCTACCGGCCGTAGTACGCTCCATGGCCGGTAGCGACAGTTGTTTTACCGCGGTCGCAACCTTCTGCGAGGTAGTAATCTCGCGGAAGGAGGCGGCGGAGAGGGCCCGGGAGGACGACCTCCACTCGGACCCGATCCGCCGCCGGCGAACCGGGCGGCGGAGGCCCGCCTACCACAGCCTCATGCCGCCCTGAGTGTGGCCGCGGGAGGACGGGGTGGGTTTCCCCTCCACCCGCATTAGTTTGGCCAGCCGCGAGGGGGCGGCGTCCGCGTGTGCCGGACGTCGCCTAAAGAGAGGAACAACATCGAGACGGAGCCCGCACCAGGAGCGGGCTGGCGCTAGGAGGGGTCCGGATGTCTTAACAACAGCTGTTCCCGGATCCCTCCTGTTACAGGCGCAGAGTGGCACACCGTGTGGTTTCAGTCGGTCCGAGTCCGACACACCACCCCGCCGCAAACCCCGGAGGGGTGACGGTCCGAGGGGATTTCCACACATTAAAAAAAAAAAAAAAAAAAAAAAAAAAAAGGGTTTGTATCAAGTTTTCCTTCTCTTGCAAAGTGCTGTTGTCCTGCGTAGTTTGCCCCCTTTCCTCTTTTACCGTATTTTTTGCAGTAAAAGAAATATAATTATTCTTCCCCCCATTCTTCTGATCCCAAACTAGGCAGAGCCTCTACTATTGTAACAGGACAGCTGATAAAAATATAATTTTCTAAATACATACATATTGTTGATAAATTATACCCAGACAGAACAAGGGATCGTAGTCATGACATAATTATTTGTGATGGGCGGGAATTGAACCCACGAACTCCGGCTTATCCGTCAGGGTCACTCACCACTGACCAACAGGCCTTCAACAGGTTTCGAGAACATGTCACACACTCCTGTAACCCTTATGACTATAATTATTTTTCTTGAAAAGTATTGGAACCCAAGTTCAAAACACATTCTTAACTCCGCAGGAACGCGAAGGTAGCTCTGGAGGGTTGCTCGTACGCAGGTAGTATGGTGACCTGGATGCGACTGGCGTATCCACATCTAGTAGACGCCGCGTTCTCGGACAGCGGACCGCTTTATGCCCAAGAAGACTTCCCTGGTAAGTGAATTATTTTGAGACACAAATGCTGAGTTCATGAATACGGAAAATACACTACTGATCAGGAGCGTCTCCACTTTCCTTTTTATACTGTTACACTTTAGCGTGGGAGACCCAAATGGGCCGGGTCGACCTAAGTGATACCACGGCCTCACATAAAACCGGTGTCAGTAATTCTAGTGTGGTCATTCTTTCTTTGCCTTTCACCGAGTGAAACCCTTCACCTTTCGTAACGTACCCCTAAATCTTTGGGGATCGACTCAAAGGATGGCAAAGCACTTGAGACTTTTAAGTTGCAAAGGTCCACAGTCACTTAATATTAGGTGTTCTGTCTGCTGGGTTACCACGCAATAAATACTCGTAAAGTACCAATGTGACGTCATCAGAAAATTTAGACACAAACAGGATATAAGGAACTCTTTAAAAGTATAAGAGAATTCTACATATCTATACCAAAAAGGCAAAAGTAGGTAGTCCAGGCAAACGTTAAAAACAGGAGGTGAAAGGTTTTAAAGGACCACCATAAGACACGTTAGATTTTAGATAGAATGAAGGTGATGTGGAATCACTTTATGTTGAAGCGACATAAGAAATTTATTGATAGAAATATACAGTAATGCAACTGTGAACTTTGGTGATTAAAGATGATGAAAACTAAGCCTCATTATATGACGGGTTTGTTCATGTGGAGGTCAGGGCCACCGCCCTGACTGCTAAGCCAGAGCTGTTGATTCCCACCCATAACAAATAATTGTGTGATGAGCCATTTGTTCTTTGTCTGGGTGTAATTAATAGAAATATTTAGGTATGTTTATCAGCAATTTGGTTATCATAGCACAGGCTTTGCCTAGTTTGGGATCAGACTGCCTTGTGTGACGTGTGTGAAGTTATTATTATAAGAATAACGATTAGATAAATTGTTATACAGAGTACCTGGAAGTTATCACGGAAGCTATTAGATCACAAGGAAGTGAGGAGTGCTTGACCAGTATCCAGCAAGGTATGGAGAGAGTAGTGGAACTCCTCGGTACTACAAATGGCGCCAATCAAGTCTCGCAGATGTTCAGGTATAGTATTCCTAGTTGCAGGAAGTATTTCGTTAAAAAAGCTGACCAAAAATACCAAATCGGCCAAAATTATTCAATTAATCCACACATTTGTAAGTACCTTGATATGTTCTTTAGAGCTAAGAAAGAGTTAATCTATACTTGCTAACACATAAATAAAATATATGTTACGGTAAAAGCACGGACTACGGTAAATCCTAAATCAAAATCAAAATCATTTATTATTTGCATAAAACAGGTATAAAGGTGGTAGAAGAGACATCATTATAAAGTCTATTATATTATATTATATTTTATTAATAAAGAATTGAATTGAATTGAATTGAATCATATAATACAAGGGTACGCTGTAATATAACCTCTTAAAGGTGTGCAAATATTTTGACATAGATATTTAAAAGATTATTATTTAGACGTTCAACATTACAAATACTATTTGAAGAATATATTCATATCTAAAAAAGCTTGAAATTCGTACTTACCATTTTTTTAATATATTTTAAAAAGACAACTTCCGCATTAGGAATATATCCTGCGTCGCGGGGGACTTTAAAAACATACATGAAACGGACACAAAGCACACCCAGACTCAGAACAACAATTTGTGGATCACACAAAGTGTTGTCCCATGTGGAGTTTGAACCCACAACACTCAGCGTAGTAGGAAGCGGCATGGCGACCGCTTAAACCACTACGCCATGCGTGCAGTCAAACCATAACTCGTTATTAAATCTTAGGATTTACCGTAGTTCGGGCCTTTTTAGTAACATAATTATAATTATACACTAGGTGGCACCCGCGACTTTGAAAAGCACTGCCTTAGTGGGTTCGATACCTGAACCGGACAAAATTTTGAAGGGTTTTTCTGACAGGAATAACTTAGGTTTTTTACCTAAGTTGAATGTAGACAGCTACCTTAGTAAAATATTATCGAAATCGGTCAAGCCGTTAACGAGATTATTCGGAACAAACAGACAGACAGACAGACAAAAAAAATGAAACTGGCTTTTAGGCATAGGTATCGTGCAAATAACCGTGTGAGCATGAAAAAAACCCACAATTTTGACATTACAAACAGACACTTCAATTTTCTTTCCAAGGAGAGCCGTATGTCCAGCAGTGGACTATTAAAGGCTGTTGATGTGATGTGACTTCAATTTTATTTATTTGTATAGATTAATATTGACATAACTATTTATGTAATCTATACCTACTAATCTAAAAAAGCTCAATGTTTTTTATTTGTTCAAATAAACGCGAAAGTCCGTGGAAATGTTAGTCAGAGGCCCAAGTTCAAGTTTATTTTACATCTACTCGATCGTCACGGTGAGCGCGTTCGGCGCTGCAATTGGCCCGCACTGAAATCTGCACCAATCACAATGCCGAACGCACTCGATGTCGGGAGCGAGATAAAGTGAAAACTATCAGATCAGTGATTACAAAAGCAAGTGACACTGTTGGAAACGGTTCTTCTATTATAAATAAATCTACTTTCACTTTTCACTATTGTGAGAGAGTCATGCTTCGCCACATTACTAGTGGAGTGTTAGGAGTGTAGGTGTAGTGGTAGGAGTGATAACACAGCCTCACAGAAAAACGGTATTAAGCAGATTTTTCGTTGCTTTTCACCGAGTGAGTACGCTTACCGAAGCTCAAACCCTCCCTTTCCTCTTGGTTCTGGGAGGAGGGCTGAAAGAGCGGCTATGAGCTTGTGACTGTGAAAAATAGCCTATGTGTTTCCTCAAGAATTAAAGTATCTTCATACCAAATTTCATCTAAAGCGGTGCAGTGGTTTACAATAAAATAGTTTTTCTTAAAAACGCCTACCAAAAAAACAGTGCTATATTTTTGCAGCTGTGATTATTTGAGCACGACAGGCGTTTAAGCAAAATCATTTGTTATTGTATTTTACTACCTATATAACGGTAATTTTGTAGTAAAAGTTACTTCATATTTAAGAAAAAAACATCGACTTGTGACGCAACAATCGAAAATTATCGAATTACAAGAGTACAAATAAATTTCAGTACAGTTAAAAACGAGTTTTATTCAGTATTTTTTTTTTATAATGGTCCGCAAAATGCATTTTAAAGTCATTTCTTACTCATTTATATCAACATTTTAACACGCGTTTATAGTTTCACGTGGAACTATGTAAATCAATATTTTATATGAATCCATTCGGGTGGTGACGGATTAAGAATACGGAGTGTCACCATCCCTATGCATGCCTTGGGTGTGGACTGTCGTAAGAGCTGACTAAGGGAGCAGTACGCAGGAAAACAGCACTGGAAAGAGAAAGAAAACTTGACACAAACCCTAAACCTGCAATCTGGTGGCAATAGCAAGGAGACAGTGGCCAGGGTGTCGGAGGAGTTCAGAACTTTTCGTGAGCTGATGTTTTCCATGTTGGGTCTTCTTCGGAAGCAAATAAATGAATGCACTAAGATGGTTGATGCTATGGAGACTCGCCATCGTCACAAATCGCTTATCTTCTTGGGAGTGCCCGAGGCTATCAAAGAGGACTGCAGTACAACCCTGCTTGAGGTCATGAATAAGAGGATGGGTCTTCATGACATCTCACGGCTCAACATCAGGCACTGCCATCGCATTGGCACCCCCTCCAAGGAACATCGTCGCCCCATACTGGTAAGATTTACTACCGCAGAGGCTAGATTCGCAGTCTGGAAGTCCAAGACATCGTTAAAGGGCTCTGGCTTCTCGGTAAGAGAATTTTTAACTAAAATACGTCAGACAGCTTTCACCATGGCCCGGCAACATTTCGGCATGTCAGCTTGTTGGACACAGGACGGCGTTATAGTTATCAAAGCCAGCGATAACAATCGGTACAAGGTGACATCCACTGATGAGCTGAAGCCCTTGCTAGTCAAATTTCCAAAGTCATCATCCACAAGCCCGCCGGGTAAGCAAGCCGGTAATGCAAGCTCGGGCACCAATAACAAAAGTTCGCGAAAACACTAGTTCTGTGTGACACCACTGTTTGTCGCTTCCCGGATACAACATTACTTTTGTTGTGTTTATATAATTGTAATCATCCTTACTCGCTTCATGTGTTGTATCATGTTTTGTTTCTTTAACATTTGTCTTACTTTCTCGTATTAAAAATTGTTGATGATTGTGTTGTGACTTGTGACAGGTATCGCATCTGTCAAATCGACGTTTTGCTCATTCGTCATTCATTACTGGTGCGTTCCGTTTCTCGTAACTCAAACGTAAGAACACGAAGCTCTGAGCTATTTTTAAATTAACCTCTTACATTGTCTAAAATTATTTCATTTTTTTTTCTGCTTTTGTCAAACTGTTTTTATTATGGCTTATTGTATTATGTCAGTCTTGTTTGTGTAAGCTGGCGGGTGGTGTAGAAATACGCACCAACTTCGATCAAGGTAATTACTTTTAAACTATATATTATTACATATTTATGTAAAATATTATTTATACGTATTTATTTTTTTTGTATTATATTAGAGTTAAATGTATTGTATTTAATAAGTGTACTCGATTCTAATGACTGTTGATGATAATGAAGTATACTTTTCTGCTGATGACTCCTCCGGGGATGAGAGCTTTAGTTCCCTACCTGACACTTTGGGTGACCGATTACGGCAATCATTCAACAACCAATCACATTCTTTATTAAATGTGTGTCATATTAATGCTCAGAGTGTTCCCAGTCACTTCAGTGATTTGACTGAAACTTTCACTGACAATAATGTGCATGCCATCTTGATTTCGGAAACTTGGCTTAAGCCGCACCTAGCTTCCACCTCTTATTCTCTCTCTGGCTTTGTACTAATTCGAAACGACCGATTGGAATCAAGAAGAGGGGGTGGGGTTGCCATTTACCTCCGTAGTTGTTTCCCCTACAACATCCTTGCCACTTCCTCTTCCGATCCTTCTACTACCGCTGAATACCTCTTCCTCGAAGTTTGTGTCAGAGGTTCTAATGTTTTACTAGGGGTAGTTTATTGCCCCCCTGCTGTCAACTACTTCTCCAGTCTGGAAACAGTTCTGGAATCTTTAGGGTCAGAATACTCACACCACGTCATCATGGGCGATTTTAACACCGATCTCCTAGCACTTAATTCGCCCCGTACTCGTAATCTCCTCCACATCATCCAATCCACTAGTCTCCATGTCCTCCCCCTTCAAGCAACTCATCACAACATTGAGCACCAAGATACTTGGCTTGACCTAATTATCACCTCTGCTCCAAGACTTGTCTATTCCCATGGTCAATATCCTGCTCCTGGATTTTCCCATCATGACTTGATCTTCCTTTCTTATATCCTGAAACCCCCTAAATCCGTTCCCAAATTTCTGCATATTCGTAGTTTCAGACGAATGGACGTCAAAAACCTGTGTGCAGGCGCTTCTGCATTAGACTGGACAGAGTTGGCTGCAGCTACAGACATGAACGAAAAAGTTACTCTTTTTAATGACGCAGTTCTTAACCTGTATGATATCCACGCACCTGTGAGGAAAGTCAAATTGAAGCGCCCTCCGGCTCCATGGATGACTGAGGAAATTCGAATGGCTATGAGACGGAGAGACCGTTGTTTTAATGGGTACAGGAAGGATCGCTGTGAGGAGAAATGGAACCTTTTTAAAGCTGCTAGGAATCGGTGTAACCAGGTGATACGTAACGCAAAACGCCGCCATATTATTCAAAATATAGAAACCTCTTCAACTTCCAGTGTGTGGAAGTTCCTTGGAACACTAGGCATTGGCAAGCAACAACGCCCTGAGTTTAAGATGACAATTGGTTTAGATGATATTAACCGTCATTTCTCAACTACACCTCAGTTGGATCATCAAACCAAGTGTCAAACCTTGAGCTATATAGCTAGTCTAACCCACCCTGATATTAAATCCTTTGACTTTTCTCCGGTATCTTCTGAGGACATCAAAAAGATTATCCTATCCATTCGTTCCAATGCTGTGGGATGTGACGGTATCAGCCGTCGCATGATTGTTAC